GTCAATTTTGCAAACTGTTCTCAATCTCTCCTCTTATGTGAACACTAGTTCTTGGATTAGGGCCACCTTGTTCCGGTGTGACCTCATCTAACTGAATGGCACTGCAATGCCCCTGTTTCCCCCAGGCCTATCTATCTGTGCCTCAGAGCCGCTGGATTGGAGTTACCTGCTCATGTGCCTGCCCCTTAGGATCCGCTCCCTGGAGTGGGGCCAGCTCTCTATCACCAGCCTCAACCCAGGTAGAGGCTCCCACAGTACAAGCTGTTATGAAGATCAGCTTTACCTCCCAGCCCTTCCTCTGCGCTGGGGCCCCCATGCCATGCTCATGCCCGTCCACCTGGAGCCAGCCCATGGCCCCTCAGTCTTCCCACTCTGGTCCTCATTCATCTGGAGCCCAGGCCCAGATGAGTAAGGCAGTGAGGGAGGGAGTGAGTGAGGGAGTGGTGAGTGAGTGAGTAAGGGAATGAGTGAGGCAGTGAGGGAGGGAGTGAGTGAGGGAGTGGTGAGGGATTGAGTGAGTGAGGGAGGGAGGGAGGGAGTAAGTGAGGGAGGGAGTGAGGGAGGCAGTGAGTGAGTGAGTGAGGGAGTGAGTGAGGGAGTGAGTGAGTGAGGGAGTAAGGGAATGAGTGAGGGAGTGAGTGAGGCAGTGAGTGAGGGAGTGAGTGAGGGAGGGAGTGAGGGAGGGAGGGAGGGAGGGAGCGAGGGAGTGAGGGAGGCAGTGAGTGAGGGAATGAGGAAGGGAGGGAGTGAAGGAGTGAGGGAGTGACTGAGGGAGGGAGTGAGGGAGTGAATGAGCGAGGGAGTGAGTGAGGGAATGAGTGAGGCAGTGAGAGAGGGAGTGAGGGAGTGAGAGAGGGAGTGAGGGAGTGAGAGAGGGAGTGAGGGAGTAAGGGAGGGAGGGAGTGAGGGAGGGAGTAAGTGATCGAGGGAGGGAGGGAGGCAGTGAGTGAGGGAGTGAGAGAGAGAGTGAGGGAGTAAGAGAGGGAGTGAGGGAGGGAGGGAGGGAATGAGGGAGGGAGTGAGGGAGGGAGTGAGAGAGGGAGTGAGGGAGTGAGGGAGGGAGGGAGTGAGGGAGGGAGTGAGGGAGGGAGTGAGGGAGTGAGGGAGGGAGGGAGTGAGGGAGGGAGTAAGTGATTGAGGGAGGGAGGGAGGGAGTGAGGGAGTGAGAGAGGGAGTGAGTGAGGGAGTGAGAGAGGGAGTGAGGGAGTGAGGGAGGGAGTAAGTGAGTGAGGGAGTGAGGGAGGGAAGGAGTGAGGGAGGGAAGGAGGAGGGAGGGAGGGAACTAGGGAGAGAGGGGGGGAGGGAGGAAGGGAGGGAGGGAGGAAGGGAGGGAGGGAGGGAGGGATTGCCACTGGCCAGGCCCCATGCCTCCCACCTCTCATATGCCCATAGCAGCGTTGGCCAGGACATCCTTGTCCTACGCTGTCGGGAAAACCTTCCCTCTAATCCAGGGCTAGTGTGGGTTCCTTCTGGGCCCAGACCCTGCCCCGTTACAGAGACACCCAGAGATACATTCTCTCAGAAGGCGGAGTGGGGGTCCCGTTCACTGACTGCCCAAGAGCTGGCACTGAATTCTCACAACAGCACCATGGGCAGGTGGCGCCTATCCGCATTCTATAGAGGAGGAAATGGAGGCTTTGAGGCGGTGTCGTGGCTGAGACGTGGTGGTGATTGTGCCTGTGAGTTTCCAAGTTGAGTGCACCTCATTTAAGGCGCACCCACAGCCTCAGATTTCCCAGCTGTAGCCTGGCGATGAGGATCCCTTCCCCTTGGATTACCATGATGATTGATTAGGATAATCTGTCCCCCATCCATCAGCATTTATTGAGTGCCTACTGTGTGCCAAGGGCCCTCCCAGGAGCTTGGGAGGCATCACTGAACAAAACAAAAGGGAAAGTTCTCTGTCCTCACGGAATTGACATGCGAGTCAGGGGGGCAGAACACAAACAGGGAATTGAAAAGCAGAGTGATGCCAGGCGGCGGCAAACGTTTCAAAGAAAATACATCTGCCAAAAGGGCGACACGGGGAGCCGCATCACCGGTGCACGTCCCCGTACGCGTCGTCAGGAAAGGCCTCTCTGAGAAAGTGGAATCTGAGCAGAGTCAGAAGGAAGAGAAACAGTGAGCCACGTGGTGTCTAATGAAAGGGCATGGAGCAGAGGGCACAGCCAGTGCAAAGGCCCTGAGGCAGGGGCGGGAGTGCACACGGGAGGAGCGGAGGACCACCCAACAGTGGAGCGGGGCAGCGGAAGGAGCAGGGAGTGGGGCTGGAGGTGCAGTGGGGCCCACAGACCTTGTGAGGACCGGGCCAGGTCCCTGTGCAGCCTCTGAACAGATGTACTTTTATCAGCCTCCTCTGGCAAAGGCTGAAGTGAGAAGACGGGAGGGAAGGACACCAGTGTCCGCAGGGCAGGGGACCGTGCCAGGACAGGGCTGGCACGCAGAGGCTGGGAGAGGCCATTGGCTTCTGGCTAACCTAGAACTGCGCTGTCCAATTCGAGAGCCACTAGCCCCAGGTGGCTCTTTTAAATTAAATGTATTAAAATTGAATGAGAAAACAACATGAGTTCCTCAGTCACACTAGAGGTATTCTGAGCGCTCAGTGGCCATGCTAGGGACACAGATAGAGAACGCGTCCCACCAACCAGCAGGCTCTAGGATCCTTAGAGCCGATGGGGCAGTTTCCCGCCTGGAAGCAAGGAAGTGAGGGCGTGAGTGGGGGAGCGACGGATGCCCCAGCCTGGGGATGCAGTGTGTGTGTGCGTGTGTGTTGAGGGGTTTCTCTGGGCAGGTGCAGAGATGACAAGGGGATGATTTCCCTGGAGAATCTAGGAGGAGAGGAGCTGAGGGCCACCCCAGGTCCCCGGAGCACCCAGCACACAGCGAGAGCTCGAGGAGCTGGCTCCTGTTAGTTTCACTTGTATTCATTAATTCCCATGTGATTCATTCCTGGACCATGGAGCACATAGGTTTGGTCGGGGATGGTGGAGTTTGGTGCACTTTGTGGACCCCGGCACCCCTTCTCTCCAGGCTCAAAAAGTCCTAGAAGACCCTCAAGGAAACATTGGGGAGCGGGGGCAGCTGGCAGCCTCCAGCCCCCACCCACAGCCCTCGACGCAGAAGAAGGAAGGTCATCCCTGCAGCCACCACTCCCTGAGCCTGGAGCAGGCGCCCTGGGTTGGGGAAAGGCACTGTGCCCCTTCTGGCCCCAGCACTGGGCAAGTCATCTTCCCTCTCTGGTCCTTGGTCTCCTCATTGTGGAATGATGGGCTTGCCTCATTCTGGTTCCAGGGCTCATGACCAGGACAAAGCCCCAGCTTAGGGGATGCAGCGTGTGTGTGTGAGTGTGTGTGTTGAGGGATTTCTCTGGGCACATGGTGGCAGGGGCAGAGATGACAGGGGGATGATTTCCCTGGAGAATTACCCAGCTCTGTCTGAGTCGTCTGCACCTCCAGAAGCCAAGAGGCCAATTGTGGCCTTTCATCGTGGTGATCTGCAAAGTACAGCCCCTGTCACTCAGACGCCTGCAGAGCAGTTCTCACTCTTCAAAGCACACGACTCTCCCATGTCTCCTGACTCTCCCCAAAATAACCCGCTCAAGCTTCCCAGCCAACACCCCACCAAAAGAGACAGAGGGTGGTTTCTGTGGAAGGCTCATGCAGATACCGCCAGGTAGGGCTGGGGTGTTTGTGTGATCAAGGTGGGCCAGTAACCCCAGAGTCTGCTGCTCTACAGAAGAGCCACTAATTGCAGTGTGAATTTCCAGAACCTCTCTGTCTGTGTTAGGGGAGGTGACGTCTGGGCCACCCCCTGTGGCTGCTGGCACATTTGCAGAACAGTCCACACTTCAGGAAGAGTGACGCCTTTCCCCCAGGGACCCCAAACAGATCCGCTGGTCTCATTTGATAGCAGCAAGATGATTTGGGATTAGGGAATGAACAGCCAGCCCCAGGTATCCAGGTGCCCTCCAGCCCCTGCCAAGTCCCAGAGAGGACTTCTCTGTTTCCAAGACAATGAGCATCGAGCAGCCGTGGCCACCGTCTTCTTTTTTTTTTTTTTTTTTTTTTTTTTTTTTGAGACAGAGTTTCGCTCTTGTTACCCAGGCTGGAGCTCAATGGCGCGATCTCGGCTCACCGCAACCTCCACCTCCTGGGTTCAGGCAATTCTCCTGCCTCAGCCTCCCGAGTAGCTGGGACTACAGGCACGTGCCACCATGCCCAGCTAATTTTTTGTATTTTTAGTAGAGACGGGGTGGGGGTTTCACCATGTTGACCAGGATGGTCTCGATCTCTTGACCTCGTGATCCACCCACCTCGGCCTCCCAAAGTGCTGGGATTACAGGCGTGAACCACCACGCCTGGCCCTCCGTCTTCTTTTCTGCTTCTTCTCAGGGCCATCTGTCGACCCAACCCTGGACCTTAATATCAGCTTGGCCCCAAAAGTGCAAAACAGGAGTCAAGAGAGATCACAGGTGGAGACCAGGTGAGAAGCATTTTCTGGAGTGCCAAGATGTAAACCAAACAAACACACGGGATTCTGAAGGCGTCTCTGTCCCTTGCCACCCTCAGCTAGCAGCAGGGAGAGGCTGCGCCCCAGGTAATAAGCCATATTCCTGCAGCATGTTGGGGTTCAGCCAACATTAAAAATGGAAAAATGGGAGTTTATTTTTCAATTCACTGAGAAAAGATCAAGTCAGAGTTTTCTCAGTATAAATCCCACTGCCCCCAAGAACTGCTCCTCAGTCTCCAAACCTGCTGGTACAGATGGACCTTGGAACTGCCCAGGGAAACACAGCGCAGCCCAGTTCACTTGCTAGGGAAGCCTGGGGTCCCCTGTGAAGAGTGCTTGTCCCCAAGCTGCCCTCAGAGGGGACCATTGCTTTGCTGCCCGTTGCCCTGTCCCTGACATATGGAGGCCCCGGTGTCCTCTCTGCAGGCTGGAGCACTGAGTGTCAGCAGCAGGACAGAAAGAAGCTCCGTCACTAGTTTGCAGCGGGCTCCTGAAGGGCTTGCAGCCCCCGGCCGGCTCACCTGTTCAGCTCTGGCGCTGTAATCTGCACCCCTGAGCACTCACTTCCAGAAAGTCTCTGCCAGCCTCAGATGAGCTGCCTGGCTGCTGAGCGCCAGCCCTGGGCTAGAGTTGGCCTGCCGGGTAGCTCTTGCAACCACACTTTGACTCGGCCGCATCCAGCTGTGAGGACCAGCTAATGAGGAGCAGCTGCTGGCAGGTGGGCAGGATCAGCGCACTGTCCCCAGGTGATATCAGCCCAAGTTTCATCAAGAACACGGCTCACCCTGCTTAGCTTGCTAATCTAAACTCTATGCATCTTCTGCTCTCGCTGCCTGATAAATAAACCCTCTGCAGCCTGCCCTGCCTGTAGGATGAGGGCAAGAACACATCCAACAGGCATTAAAGTCACAGGGTCCTGGGTTCGAAGCTGGATTCTGCTACTTCAGAGCTACAAAGGCTGAGCCACTTACCCCGTCTGGGCCCTGCTTCCTCGTCTATGAAACGAGGATAAGGACACCCCCCCATACGGGATTATTAGGGAGTTCAATTACACGGGGCAAGAAAAGGTCCTAGCCCCAAATGGGCACTCAGAAAGTGCCCCAAAAAGCATAGACACAGTGTTGCATTGCCAAAAACAAAATGGCCCTGTGTGCTCATCACTAGATTCTAGACGCATAATCACAGTTTGTTTTCAGGTCTTCAACAGTTTTGGCCAATTTGGTTTAAAAATCCACCTTGCCGAGTTAACGCTGGCATGGTGGAGCTACAGCCTGTCGACTCACCTGGAAGCTGGCAAGGAGGTGGGGCTGCCTCCTCCCGGGATCGGGAGAGCACACACAGGCAGCTTGGGAGGCACCTGCCTGGGGTGGTTCCCCCGCCCCACACACTGGGGTGGGTGTCACATGACCCCATAAGGAGATGAGCCGTGAGGGAGGGGGCGGGAGGGCACCGGGAGACGCATCGGCATCCACAGGTCGGTCCTGCCCAGGAGTCAGCTTGCACTGTGAAAGGAAGGGGCGGTTTTCAGTTCCAGATGCTGATCAGGCTGTTTATTGACTGGAATTGTGCCCCTGCACAACTCACATCCTCTGGAAGCTGCAACTGTACTGTCATTTGGAAATAGGCCCTCACAGATGTGGTTAGTTGAGGTCCCACTGGGCTTGAACAGGCCTTCGTTCCGATGATGGGTGTTCCCATAAGAAAAGGAAGGGGTACAGAGAGACACACGGAGGCAGCCCATGTGACGATGCAGAGAAAGACTGGAGCATTGCGGTCACGCGCCGAGGAAGGCCGGGAGCTTCGGGAAGCCAAGCAGAGGCGGGGAGAGTCGCAGGCGGCCTCCGAGGGGGCATGGCCCGCTGGCACCTTGATTCTGGACTTCCAGCCCAGAACAGCCACGGACTAAATGCATGTTCCATGAGGCCTCCCAGTTTGTGGCAATTTTTTTCTGGCAGCCACAGGAAACTAAAACAGGTTGGGAGGGAGGTGTTGAGCTGTATGGAGAGGACGCAAGGGTGAGAGTCGGAAAGACCTGCCTTCCCAGCCGGCTCCCAAAACCTCCTCAGCAGCCCAGCTGCCCTTCTGCCACCCTCCGTGGACTCATCTGTGAAATAGAGCTCTCGAAATGGTCCAAATAGGTGATGCATGAGTTTTTGGAAGAGTTAAGTCTCAAATGTGTTTAGCAAATCTACTTTCCCCCCGTTTTCCAACTGAATTTCTATTTCAGTGTCTTCTCCTATCTTTTGGGTTTTGTATATGGTTCATTTATTTCCTTTATGTCTCCTTTTTTTGAGACAGCGTTTCGCTCTGTCGCCCATGCTGGAATGCAGTGGCTTGATCTCCGCTCACTGCAACTTCCGCCTCCAGGGTTCAAACAGTTCTCTTGCCTCAGCCTCCCGACTAGCTGGGATTACAGGTGCCCTCCAGCACGCCCAGCTACTTTTTTGTATTTTAGTAGAGACAGGGTTTCACCGTGTTACCCAGGCTGATCTTGAACTCCAGAGCTCAGGCAATCCACCTGCCCTAGCACCCCGATATTTTTTTTTAACCAAGATCTTTGTCACCTAGGCTAGAGTGCAGTGGTGCAATTATGACTCATAGCAGCTTCTAACTCCTGGGCTCAAAGCAATTCTCCTGCCTTAGCCTCCCTAGTAGCTAGGACTACTGGTGCACACCACCATGCCCAGATAATCTTTAAGTTTTTTTTGTACAGACAATGTCTCACTATGTTTCCAAGGCTGATCGTGAACTGGCCTCAAGTGGTCCCCCCACCTTGGCCTTCCATATTGCACAGGTGAGCCACTGCACCCAGCCGTTGAAAATATTTGTTATGAATTTGCCTGTGGTTACTGCTTTGTCTATACCCTGTAAATATTATTCTCAAGATCATTATTTTTTAAGTATTTTGCTTCTGAAATGCTCACATCTTCTTTGACTCAAAATGTGTGTAGTAGAGCCTTAGAGTTTTTTCTTTGTCTTTGGTTTTATTTCTCTTGTTGTTGTGTCGTGGGTGGGCAGCGAGGTCTGGATAGCATCTGCATGTTGATATTTACTGAGGCCACTCTGTGGCCTTATACACGGTCAATGATTATAAACACCCCATGATGACAGAAAAGGAAGTGTGATCTCCTGATACAGGGTGCAGACTTTGAGAGGAATCCAAGTTCATAGGGTGGTCTCAGTAGGGCCTGGGGGAGAATTCCAGACTCCTCATTCCTCTGAAAGCTGCTTCTGGAAGATCCTGGTCTTCCGGGCTGCAATTCCTCACCCGTGATCAGGCCTCCTGGCGGCAACCTCCATTTTCTGTCTTCGATGACTTTCCCATTTTGCCCCTGTTCCGGGTTTCTCAAAGTGAGGCCCCTAGACCCCTGCACTAGAGCCACCCGGGGCGTCTGCGGAATTTGGGTCTCAGAGGGTGGGGCCTGAGGGTCTACATATGTCACAAGTGTCTGCTCTGGGGACCTGCTCCAGGTGCTCACAAGGCTCTGGGGACCTGCTCCAGGTGCCCACAAGGCTCTGGGTCAATCGGATGTTGGCTGCATTGCAAGAGCATTGGGTGTGGCCAGAGCACCAAGGCCAGCTCTTTTAAGGCTCAAGGGCAGAGGCTGTGACAGCCGGGAGCTCCCAGGATACAGCTGAAGGTCTGGGGAGAGCACGCTGTTGAACCTGCCTTTCAGGTCACACCACCCTCAGTGATAATGTGGGAAGGGAACTGTCGAGCAGGGTGGGAGATGCTGACCCTGGGGATGAGTGTGCCATGGGGGCCAGGGAGGGGTGTCCTGGTGTCTGTCCAAGTCCTGGTCTCTGATAAGGCCCTTTCATCGAGCAGGGGGACTCTGTTGCTGGCTGGGAGTAGAAGTCCAGGCACCCTGCATCTTGGCCTCTGAGTCACCAAGAAAAACTCAGTCAGGCGCTGACTGGGACTGGAATGAGGAGAAGAGACAAGGCAGGATTGCCTCCAGTGATTGCCACTGGTCCCCACGGCCAGTGCAACCCTCGTGGCAGCTGGGGCAGGGCCACTGGCCAGCAGTCATCTCTCCTGTGTGGCAGCAGGAGGGCCCTTCTTGCTCCCCACAGTGGGAGTAATGTCCATATGCTGTGTGACACACAGATTTAAGCAGGGCAAAGAAGACACAGCCTGAACCAGGAAAAAGTCTTCCCACACACAGCAGCAAGCCCTGCACAGGCTTCGAGGGACCCTTTATCTTGGGGAAGGAAGCGTTCCAGGCCCAAGGACCATTCTGGTGCTGCCGAGCGGGAGTGGAGAGGTGCATGAGACTGCCTGACCCTACACCTCTGGCTGCAGATGTGGCAGCAGGAGCCTCAGGGCCCGGCCAGCGGGAGGGTTGCTATTCATCCTTGCGGTTATTATCAGACCCTAGAGGGCTGTGACTGCAGGCATCCCCGCCACCTCCACGCGGCTGGCCAAACCCTGCAGAACATCTGTGGGACCGTGGGACCGCGGGACCCTGGAGCAGACCCATCCTGTCTGGGCAGATCCCTTCCATCCCACGTACCCCTCCCCAGCCTCAGTGAGCTTCTGCTTCACTAGCCACCCCTGGGGTTCTGCTTTGGCTCCTGAAGCAGTGTTGGCCAAGGTCCCAGAGAGCCGGATAGTTGGGCAGCCACAGCTTCCTGGGGCAGCACTTAGCTGACAACTGACCAATGCAGGAGCGTGAAAGCCCCAGCTGGGTCAGGAAGGGCTGGGCACCGTATGCCCAGGAATCAGGCCAGAGCTGTCCTCGAGGGATGTCTTGTCATCGCCCTTGGCCAGGCCTCCTCCCTTCTCTGTCCTGATTCCTGCTTCCTCACCATTGTCCCCTGGAGCACCCGCTTCATCGAGCACCTGCCCATGGGGCCTCGATTCAGGGCTTCCTGCAGAACCTGCCCTAAGAGGCATGAGACAGAAGCTTCCAGGTGAAGACCTCTGTGCGAAGGAGACGAGGGAGGGGAGCAGAAGGAGTAAAGGGGCCGGAGACCAGCAGGCATCAGGGACTTGGCCACTGAGGACAGGCTCCAAACTTGCAGGAGCCCTCAGGCCAGTGGGGACAATGGGAGACGGGGTGGGGAGAGAGCCCAGGGGCTCTTCCTTGATTGCAAGGTCCGGGGCCAACCTCTGTGCAGGAGCCATAGCCTCTTCTCGCTGAGTGTCAGTGGATGGCCTGCTTGACGGTGGCCACTGTCACCTTTCTCTACCTTCCAGGCTGGGGAAGGAGAAAGGGGTGAGCGCTCCCCCTGGGCCTTCACAGAGCCTCAATGCTGAAAGGTCCGGGAGACTTTAGCACCTCTTCCAAGGCCAGCAGATACTGACAGCCAGCCAAGCCACCTCTTCTCTGTCGCTCCTTCCCCAAATCGGGAATGCAGTGAGTGGGCCACGGTGGAGAACTCCAGTGGCATCCAGGGGATGAGAGGCAGCGAGCCTTGGACTTTGCTTCTTGTCTTTTTTCTGCACACCTGCTGTGTGAGTCTGAGCAGGTTTCCCAGCCTCTGAGTCTCAGGTCCTCATCCGTACGGTGGAGTAACAGTGCCTATGACGTGTCTTTTTTCACGCTTATCCTTTGTGTCCTTCTTGGGGCACATCTGGGAGCCAATCCAAGCCAAAAATAAAACTCAGGCAGCGCAAAGCGTTGGCGATGGGGCTGCTGTGACCTGAACAACTGTGCCCCCGAGATTTCTATGCTGAAGCCCTGATCCTGAGCGGGACAGAATTTGGAGATGGCATCTTGGGTAGTGATGAAGTGATGAGGATGAAGCTTTCATGACAGGATCCGCGCCCGTGTGCATGTGTGTTCGTGTATATGCGTGCGCATGTGTGTAGCGTGTGCGCATGTGTGTGTGCGCATGTGTGTATATATGCATATGCACATATATATGTGCATGTGTGTACCCATGTGTATATGTGTGTACCTGTGTGTCTGTGTGTACTTGTGTGTATGTGTGTGCATGTGTGTTCGTGTATATGCGTGTGCATGTGTGTATGTGTGTGTGCATGTGTGTATATATGCATATGCACATATATATGTGCCACGCCCTCAGAAAACGACCAGAAAGCATTCTCCCCCAACCCCACCACCCAGGGTGCATGTGTGCATGTGTGTTTGTGTATATGCATGCGCATGTGTGTAGCGTGTGCGCATGTGTGTATGTGTGGTGCATGTGTGTATATATGCATATGCACATATATGTGCCGTGCCCTCAGAAAACGACCAGAAAGCATTCTCCCCCAACCCCACCACCCAGGGTGCATGTGTGCATGTGTGTTTGTGTATATGCGTGCGCATGTGTGTATGTGTGTGTGCATGTGTGTATATATGCATATGCACATATATATGTGCCGCGCCCTCAGAAAACGACCAGAAAGCATTCTCCCCCAACCCCACCGCCCAGGGTGCATGTGTGCATGTGTGTTTGTGTATATGCGTGCGCATGTGTGTAGTGTAGTGTGTGCGCATGTGTGTAGTGTGTGCGCATGTGTGTAGTGTGTGCGCATGTGTGTATATATGCATATGCACATATATGTGCATGTGTGTGTACCCATGTGTATATGTGTGTACCTGTGTGTATGTGTGTACTTGTGTGCATGTGTGTGCATGTGTGTATGTGTATGTGTGGATATGAATGTGTGTGTATATGTATGTGTGTTTGTGTATGTGTGTAGATGTGTGTATTTGTGTGTGCATGTGTGTGTATTTGTGTGTGAATGTGTATATGTGTGTGTATATATGTGTGTGGGTGTGTGCCCACCATTGAAAATACAGCAAGAAGGCAGACCTTAAGAGCAGACTGAATGTTTGTGTCCCCCTCAAAGTTCATGCATTGAAGTACTAATCCCCAGTGTGATGGAATTTGGAGACAGGGTCTGTCTGTTGACAAGGGTCAACATTCAGTTTCAAGAAAGAGGGTTTCAGAATCAGCCAAAAAGTCCAGCAGGTGATGGACACACATGGGGGTCAAGTGTGGGTTCAAAGCCACACCTCTTGAGCCCAAATCCCTTCTCCATCACTCACTCACTCACTCACTGCTGCATGCCCTGGGCAAGTTATCAAGCCCCGTTGCACATCCGTTGCCATGTTAGAGAAATGGAAATGGCAATGGTACCAACCCCCCAGGGCTGCACTTCAGACTCTCTAGCACCTGGCACACCCTCAGCTTTCCCACGTGGCCTCAATATGACTATCGCTACCACCACCATCCTAGCCTTGGAGCTTCTGTGGTTCACCATGATTACGTCATTGGGATTCCCAGGCGTGGAGCGTCACGAACTGAGGAGCAGATGCAAGCACTGTGTGCTGGGATCCCAGAAGAGGGAGCAGGGTGTGTCCAGAGGTGAAGCTGAGAGACCCGGCGGCAAAGAATCAAGGGTTCTTTCTTAGATTCAGATAATAGACGACCTACATCACAAAAGCAGGAGAGCTGGTGGCACTGGGTCTCCTCTACGCTGGGCAACACAAAAGCAAAAGGGGCCAGGTGACTGCCCTGTAGATGCCAGACAGCCCATTGCCAAGGAGCCTGCGACCTGTGCAGGGAAGCAGCTTAGTAGCCTGCAGCTCTACCCGACGGGGCAAGGCAGAAGGCCTCATGCTTCATCGGAAATCAGGAGGGATGGGACGTGGCCTGCTGCCCGCCGGCCTGGAAGAAGGGAGGAGGAAGATGAGTGGGCGTTGGGCAGCTCCTTGCAAGCACCCATGCTCTCCTGGCTTTCTGCCAAGGCTTGGACCAGGTACAAGTGAACTGTGTGTATGTGGCCTACATAGAGAAGTACAGGTTGCCAGAGGGCCACGGTGGAGCCATTACCCTACAGCTGCAAGGAAGTCAGCCTTAAGGAGATGACCTCCCTAGTCCTTGACAATGAGTTCGATTTGAGGAGGCCAAGACTCAGAAACAGCATCCCAGGTGGAGGCTACAGCTGGGGAAAAAGTGCAGAGGCTGGAACCAGAGGGCTTCCTGGGAGCTATGGGCGGTCAAATTTGGTTCCTCCAGCCAGTTTGTAAGTAAGCAGGTTTTGGGGATACAGAACCAAATTGGACAGTGGGGGATCATAGTCTGCTGGGAGAGGCTGAGCCAGGCATGCAGGCACCCAACACCCAGAAGCTGGGACTGAGCAGCAGAGGCAGGAAGGAGTGAGCCACAGGAGTCTTGGAAGGCACATCAGGGAGGGCTTCCTGGAAGAGGCAGCTGCTATGGCCCACCAGGACACCTGCCCACAGTGATGTAGAAAAGGTGGGCACAAACTTGGCATGAAAAACATTCAGGTGCCTTCATTTTCTATCATTCTACATAGCCTCTGAGGTCCCCCTTTTCCTGAGAACTTATATGCTCTCATAGCCTCAGGGTCACAATGGGTTAGCTGCAGCTGATCCCCAGCATTGTCCATTCACGCCTGATGTGGGGGTCGGGAAGCAGGGCTGCTGTCCTTGTTGGCTCCACAGCTAAACAAACCCAAGATGCACTGAGTTTTCTCTCATTAAATCACCCCTGAAAAACAAAACATTTTCACTGCCCTGAACTCCGACCCTCCCCAGTGGTCTTGAGAAGACCTTTGGCCAAAAGCAGTGCAGCCAGCCAGACCTGCAATCCCATATCCTCCACCTAGGTGGGGGCATCACAGCCTAGCGCATGGCTGCCCTAGCCACCCGGCACTCCGGCTGCCCTGGCATCAATAGACATACCTCAGCAGCACAGAGGAGCCCGCCGGCAGCAGATAATCAGTCTGCTTGCCCCTTCTCACCAGCTCTGGGGGGGCAAGTAATCATTTATTCACTTGGCTGATTTTTCTTGATCAGAGTAAAGGCAATGTTTAAAATATACGTGAAACCCCCAAACAGAAACCTATGCCCCCACCACTTAGACATGGTACAGCTAGTGATGGGAGGTCAGGCAGGGAAGGGGGCAGTGAGGTCTGTGGGTCAGAGATGGATGCACTGGGATTCTTAGTCGTGAATGACCTCCGTTGAGCTTGCTCTGTACCAGGAGCCCCACCCACATTCTGCATTTGATCTTGTGGATTCATTCTTATCTCCCTTTCAGCCTGAGGATAAGACACACAGTTGACTGACCCGAAGATGAGGCCGAGCATCCCTTCCTCAGGGCGCTAGTAAAGGGTCCTGCGCTACTCTTTAGAGCATAGGGGCAGAATCTGTAGTTGCTGTGTATCAAGGGAGCTATGATGGAGACATCAGGCACAGCACTCAGCTAGGAGCTGCCTTCAGCTGCCGGTTAGGGGTCCAGAGATAAGGGTCACAGGCTCTCTCACCTCACAAGTCTGCAGGCCAGGAGGCAGGGCTGGTGGGGAGGCAGCGGGATGTCTCCTTGTTTATCGATGGGGCATGATAGTTGTCCCTGAGGTGGTCTCATGCTCCCAGGATGACTTCAGCTGCCACCTCCTCATTCCAGCAGGAGGAGGGGGAAGAGGAAGGACAAGGTGGTGCCTGCCAGGGCTGAACCGGTCCCTTGCAGAGCTGTTCTGGGACTTCCGCTCACATCCTGTTGGCCCCACCTTCGGGGAGAGGAGACCCACACAGGACCCAATCAAGCTGGACAGCCCAGCCAGGGAGGGAGCAAGAGGGGAGTCATTCTGGGTCCACGGTGATGAGCCCGCTCTGAGTCAGCCTGCTCTTCCCCTCCCTCTGCCTTGAAGTCTGGCTTCTGCCTTGGGCCTCCTTGTTTGTCACTGCCTCTCCACCTGTTTCTGCGCATTGGCCCTCTCGAAGGCATCGTCCCAGGCCAGGCTCCTTCTCTCTGCTTCCGTGCCCTGCCCGAGAGAGAACATCTGATTGGTCCCATTCATCTTTGCACGCCACACCCCTGCCACATGGATTGGCTGCCCTCCAGGGGTGTAGACACACTACCTTGGACCAATCAGCTGGGGCTGTGAGGTTGTGGTCACACGGCCTTCTTAGGGCTGCCCCTAGTGGGTGCTGGGGGTGTGGCCAACATACTGGGACAGACCCCCAACCCAATGCCAGTGGGTACCAAGAAACCCTTGCAGACTGAGGGTGAAGGGAGGTCGTGCTGAGGTATACACCCTGGTGTAGCGCTATGTGCCAGCCTGCTGTGGGAGCTTCCGCAAGTCACTCTGCCTCTCCACACCTCCATTTCTTGCTCTATAAAATGGGCTCATAACCGTCTCCATCCCATAAGGTTGAAGTAAAAGACTGAATGAGGCTGATGGGATTATTATGCATTGCATGCCTGTATCAAAACATTTCATGTACCCCATAAACATATACACCAACAACAAACCCCAAAGATTACAAATTTAAAAAGATTAGGCCAGGCACAGTGGCTCACGCCTATAATCACAGCACTTTGGGAGGCTGAGGCAGGTGGATCACCTGAAGTCAGGAATTCAAGACCAGCCTGGTCAACATGGGGAAACCCCATCTACACTAAACATACAAAAAAAGTTAGCCAGGCATGATGACACACACCTGTAATCCCAGCTACTCAGGAGGCTGAGGTAAGAGAATCACCTGAACCCAGGAGGCGGAGATTGCAGCGAGCCAAGATCACACCACTGCACTCCAGCCTCGGTAACAAAAGCAGAACTCTGTCACCAAAAAAAAATAATAAGAAGAACATTCAATGAGGAAATTCACATAATTGTACCTGAGCAAAGCAGAGGCTTGGCAAATGCTGGCTCCTTATCATCCTCTTTTAAACGACAGCAACATTATTTATTACGTTTGGAAGGACTGGCCTGCTGCCTGTCCCCTCTTCAGCAGCCTCTGAGGACTCTCTCAGTCCTTTGGTCCTGAGCCTTTTTGCAGTCTCCTTGGGGCCAAATAAAGAATATGGGGATGGGGGGTCGGGGGGGGTGGAGGCTGGCTGGAGGGAGGATGGTGAAAGCTGTGATTATCGCCTGCCCGCTGCAGGCTCAGCAGAAGAGAAATTGCTTGCCCGGCACACCTAGCAATTACCCACAGTGATGATGCCAGTGGAGCTAGATGCTGTCGGGGGCAGGGAAGGGGCTGGGGGGATTCCTTCCTCTTTGGAGAGAGCAGTGGAGAGGGAGTCTTTTTGGAAGGTACCTGGGCCAGTCTTCTCCCTGCCCAAACCCTTCTAGATCCCTGTAGTTCCTAGAATAAAGATCAAACTCTCCTGCCCGCATCCAAAGCCCGGTCTAGACTGTCCCTTGCCACCTTCAGGTCTCCACCACACTCCACTGCATTCACTGTGCTCCAGACACCATGGTTCTCTGCCAAGCTCTTTTTCAACTCAGGCTATTTGCAAGGGTTGTTCCCCTGCCTGGAAAGCTGTTCCCTCTGTCCCCTGCCTGGAAAGCTCTTCCCTCTGTCCCCTGCCTGGGAAGCTGCCCCCTTTGTCCCCTGCCTGGCTAACTCCTACGGTGGGTTCCTCTTTAAATGGGCCTTCTCTGACATCCCGTCCAAACGACATCCTCTAGGGCTTCTTACTGTGTAGCCCAGGACTCCTCAAAGCCTGGCATTAGGTCCACACTCAGGGACACCTACAGGATGGCAACGGGCTTTGGAAGCACCAGTTTTCTCAGGGAGGCAGGCAAGAGCTGAAGGGTTAGGGGCAAGTAGGGCCTGCCCTCGCTGAGCCCCTGCACCATTACCTCTCCATAGACCTGACTTCCAGCTGCCAGCCTCCTGCCAACCACAGGGTGAAGTTTTCCTGACAAGGATCCTTTTTAATGCACTCAGGCTGGAGCTCATGTCGGAGCTAATTAATTTTTAGGTTCCACATGAATGCAAGAGCTGAAAATTAGCACTTGCAGAAAGCCAGTCCAAGCCTTTCCCCTAAATTGCAAGGGGGCCTGGAAGCCAGAGTGCTGATAGCTTCTGCCAAGACAGCGCCCACCATAGCTGCTTCCTTTCCACCCTCCCAGGCAAGGCCTCCCTGCACCAGCTTTTCCTTCAGGGCTCAGGGCTGCAGAGAAAGCACACAGGGGAGAGGCCACAGGCACCCCAGCATCCAGCTAGGGTCCCCTGGGGTCATGGCCCTTGGAGGGTCCCTGGAGATGTGTGTCGTTAGACGATCTCTGCCCCTGGCCTGCTGCAGCACTGCTCCTGAACTAGACTGGGAGGCTCCCTGGGGACAGGGCTCAGGTCAGTCCCATCTCTAGATCTCCAGCAGCTTCCAAGTTAGTATCGCTTAATAAGTCACCCCTGCCTCCTGGGGTGTAAGGGAAACTCCTGCAAACCTTGGGCAAAGCCTGGAGCCCCAACTTCCCCTTCCAGTCGGGTCACCTGTGAGCCTGTCGCCAGGGTCCTGGGTATCCCTGTAAAATGGGGGCAATGCCACCCACTCCCACGACTGTGAGGCTCAGGCAAGATCATCATGGCAAATGTGACAGTGGTGGCACGGCATGAACTGGACATACCTGTGCTCTCCTGAAGGCCACGCAAATCCAGACAACACTGGAGAAAACTTTCCTTTGAGAAAACGGAGCCTGGGCCTCAGAGCCAGCCAGAGTTCTGCATGGGTGGCCTGCAAAGTGCCTGGGCCTCAGGCCTCACGGAGCTGGGAGCAAACCCCCCAGCTCAGTTTCCCTTTCTGATTCCAACCCTTCAAATGACCCCTCTATAAAATAAGACGAATAGGCCGGGCGCGGTGGCTCAAGCCTGTAATCCCAGCACTTTGGGAGACCGAGGCGGGTGGATCACGAGGTCAACAGATCGAGACCATCCTGGTCAACATGGTGAAACCCCGTCTCTACTAAAAATTACAAAAAATTAGCTGGGCACGGTAGCGCGTGCCTGTAATCCCAGCTACTCGGGAGGCTGAGGCAGGAGAATTGCCTGAACCCAGGAGGCGGAGGTTGCAGTGAGCCGAGATTGCGCCATTGCACTCCAGCCTGGGTAACAAGAGCGAAACTCCGTCTCAGAAAAAAAAAAAAAAAAAAAAAAAAAAAAAAAAAAAAAAAGCGAATATAGGTCCCGAGTCCCTTATCCGGAACCCTCAAGGCCAGAAGTCTTCTAGAAATTCAAGTTGTGTGGCTCTCAGAAAGGTCATGTGGCGCTTATACCATCTATCACATCACAGCCCCCGGCGCCGGGAAGCACCTCCTAATCAAACATCCATATCTCCCAGTGCGTTCTGTGCATATTCCCTCCGAGGGATCGATAAAGACCACAGATAGCCTGGTGTCCGATCACACTGGGCTGTGCCGCCAAGCTTAGGAAAAAGTTTTCCATTTTTAGAGCGCGGTGCATTTGGAAGTGAGGGTAAGGGCTGCGGCGAGGCTTAACGGCGATCGTGAGCGTAGCGGTGAGCCTGGCGGCCAGGAACTGCTCCTGTTACCACCACTGATTCTCTGGGTACAACGATAAACAAGGCAGCATTTGCCAGGAAGTGTCAGCTCGTGCTGCCACCGACCCCCACCACCCTCCCCGGGCCGCAGAATCTAGGGAGGCTCTGAGGAGTGGCGCCCAGTGTCCAATCACCTTTGAAGTCAGATGGTGACCCTGTCCTTTCTGGACTCACAGTACTTTCTCACAAAGAGGATTTGAGCCAAAACATCATCAGGCTTTCCCCGGTCTCCTTCCAGGAAGGGGAGCAGTGACCTGACTTCCTCATTTTTCTCACCCCTGCCCCAGGGCAGAGAAAACCCCATCAAAGCCACAGCTCTGATCCTACTTCTCCAGAAAGCTCTGGGCAGCCAGCCGCAGCTGCTTGGAGGAAGAGACCCTCCTCGCCAGGGACAGCTCCCTCCCCATTCCAGGCCCCTGGCTGCTGCTGCCTAGGGCAGGGTGGGCAGGAGGCAGCCTCTACTTTCAGAGGGGCAGAGTTGCCCATGAGAACTGAGCATGATTAAAGAGGGAGCAGCCCGTGAAAAAGATCCTAGGAAGGACCCACGTGTTTGATCAGTGCCCCACTCAGGGCCCTGGAGCCTGCTACCGTCCTTCAGAGAAGCCACGGAGTGGGGGTGGGTTCTGCTTCTGCACCAAGGCCTCGTACATGCCACCCCAGCAGAGAACCCTCCAGAGCCTGGCCTCTGGTTCCGAGCACGTGCTGAGCTGGTGGGCGCAAGTCGGCACACCGATTAAAGCTCCCTGTGGTTTGCACAAGCGAACTCTTGTCTTAGCTTTCCAACAGTGTTATTTTAGCAAGGTTCCCAAACAAGGGAGGCTTTCTAAAAGCCACCCTCCCCATAAGGCGGGTCTTTGTTTTAGCTCACTCTCCTGATTCTGGTTCCATCCCAGGGACCAACGTCTTTAAGGCTCTTCTGTTACTCGAGAGAAGGGTATGTTGGCTGTTCATTCAAGAAGTCCGACAGCTGGAAGGACCCCGGGTGCTCCCAGGGGTTCTTGCCCTGGAAACCCTGCCCAGACCAGCCTGCCAGGTCTCTGCAAATCCGCAGCTTCTCACCACGGCTGCCTCCCTCCCACGCACACCTCGGGGAACCAGCATCCCTCCCTCCGGTTGCTCTGGAGGCTAGGGATCACCCCAGTGGCTTTGACCAATGGGAGGCAGGAGTTTCGAATCATTTCTTCTCCCTCCACTGCCCATACACATGCTCCGCATGAGAGTTTTCAGGCAGCCTCTGAAGTCATCCCAGGAGACAGAACAAAGGTCGTGCTTCTCTTGCGTGCTCCTGTGCGAACCCTCCCCCACTCCCCTTTTCCCTCATCCATCTTTCTGGGGTGGCACCCTAGCACCAATCTGCAGGAAGCAGCTACCCAGTGAGTCCTGAGCTGAGGCAGGAAGCCTCCTCTCTCTCTCTCTCTCTCTCTCTCTCTCCCCCTGCCCCCAACTACACAAGGATAACCTATAAGAGGGGACAGA